TCGCCCCCAGCCTCTCATTTTTGTGACTCCTGGGCGCTGGGATCAGCCGCATCGCACGCGTTTCCCCCAGACCTGCCTCTCCCCGGGCGGTTCCTCAGCTTGCTTCGCCTGTTTTCTGAGAGAACGTGACCGTTTTGTTAAAAACATCCTTCTCACGCCCTTGACAGCTCCTGCCCCATCGGTAAATATTTTTGACGCGGACAGACCTGTGTTAGACCCCTTGGGCGCAGCGGGCGCGCGCCCGCGGCGGGCAGCGGTTAATTAGCTGCGAGGACACGGTAGCGAGCCCGTTAGGGGATGCGCGGTGGCGGTGTGTCCGTCCGGGAGACGGGGCAGCTCTGCATGGGGCATGGCTTTGGGTGGGGGCTAGCTCTTTGCTCCGAGCTGCTCTGCCGTGCTGCTGATGCTCCCGTTTTTGGTTTTTTTTTTTTTCTCCTGCAGCATGGGCTTCCTACATGACCAACTCCCCGACCCTGATCGTGATGATCGGTCTCCCCGCGCGCGGCAAGACCTACGTGTCCAAGAAGCTCACCCGCTACCTCAACTGGATCGGGGTGCCCACCAAAGGTGTGTGCGGGGGCCGGCCCGGTGCGGGGATGGCTCTGCCCTTCACCGAAAGCACCGTGAGATCTGTCTGCGAAATGCCGTCAGTCTCACGCGCTCGTCTTTTGTGTGTCAAGTGTTTAATTTAGGAGTGTATCGCCGGGAAGCAGTGAAGTCTTACAAGTCCTATGACTTCTTCAGGCACGATAACAAAGAAGCCATGGAAATCCGCAAGTAAGTTGGCGTCAGGGGGCCCAGCCGATCCGCGGCAATTTGGTTAGTCTCAGGTCTTGGCAGCCTCTGCATTTGAGGAGCACAAAATAACATTTAATGCCCTTGAAGCCAGGGGAGGAGGTAGCGCAGCCCGTGCGGGGACCCTGCCAGAGGGGCTGTGCGTGGGAGTTTTGTCATTGTCTTCGGGCTGGCACAAAGAACAGGGGCTCCGAATGCCCGGCGATGAATGAAATACGAAGCAGGTTATAGATACAAATGCCTTATGATATCTGCAGAGCCTCCAGGGCTCTTGGAAAGATGCAGGGGTGGGTGCCCGGTGGGCAGAGAGAGAGAAGGTATTTAAACCTCTGCCCGGTGGTTCAGACGCCTTGCCGTCTGAGTACTTTACATCAGCTCTGACAATACCCATTTCTCTCCTGCAGACGATGTGCCTTAGTGGCTCTAGAAGACGTGAAGGCTTATCTCTTGGAGGAGTGCGGGCAAATAGCTGTAAGGCTTTTCTGGAGTAAACATGGTTTTTCATCTGGGTAGTTCAAAGCTGCCCAGGTCATTCAGGCACCTGATTGTAATCCCAAATGATTTGGGGCTGGTTTAAAAGCCTTAGATAAGCTTGTTTATTGCTACTTGTTTTCTGGTAGGTGTTTGATGCGACCAACACAACTCGAGAAAGACGGGACCTGATCTTAAATTTTGCTAAAGAAAATGCTTTCAAGGTAGCGCTTCTGTATTTAATTTGTAGTTGGAGTTGTTGCACCGAGGGGCATTACTGCTCCCTAGGGCAGGAGCTCTCGAGTCTTGATTCTGGGTGGAGATCTTGACTCTCTGTAACATGCTTCCTTGCCTTCTTTGTAGGTGTTTTTTGTGGAGTCTGTCTGTGACGATCCAGAAGTCATCGCTGCCAATATCCTGGTGCGTGCTGCATTTTCCAGGCTCAACTGCCAGTGCTTACCGTGGGAGCTCGGGTGCTCGGTGCAAGGTCACCAGCTACGGTAGCTTGCGGCAATGTCTGCAAATGCCTTGATTTTACATTTCACCTTGGAAATAAGCAGCTAAGGTTTGCAGGTTTATAAAAGCTAGAGATGCAGTTAGTTATGTGAGAACGTGGAAATCAAATGAAGCTGAGAAACGTTTGACCTTGAAGCGTGTTTTCTTGTCAAGGGAAGGCAGGCAGCGAGTGGCTTGCAGGGACGGCTAAAAGCGAGCCAGCCGTGTCTGTCGCGGGGCCAAGCGCTACAGCGCCTTCAGAGTCGCCCTTTGTTTCCTCTCCAGGAGCAGGTTTTTCCACAGGGCAGTGTTAAACAATGCTCATTTGTTTCAAAAGGGAAGAATAATGTTATTCAGCATTGCTTTTGCTCCTCGTCGAGTTTGCTTAACTCTCACAAAGTGTTGCTGTCTTCTGATCAGGAGGTGAAAGTTTCCAGCCCCGACTACCCGGAGAGAAACAGGGAGAACGTGATGGATGATTTCCTGAAGAGGATTGAGTGCTACAAGGTCACTTACCAGCCTCTTGATCCCGATGCGTATGACAAGTAAGCAACGCCCCGGGGTGCATTTTGTCCTTGCGCACGTGAGCTGCTTTGCTTTGTCGCTGCTGTTCTCTGGCTCAGGATGCTGCAGCGCGTCTGCTGCAGCCTCTGCTCTCCCAAAGCACAATTGCTCGTGTGAAGGTGATATCCTCGGGTCCCAAGTGATTTGGAAGGATTTTTCTCTAGTGTACTGCAATGTAATGCCACTCCTTGTTTAAGCACGGCAGTTCAGTGTCTCTTCTGTCTGCTGGAGCGACCCAGTGGTAGTGCTGATGCCTTTAGTAGAGGGTAAATAGCTAGATTACACCCGCAGATGCACGTGCTTCATTTTTAAAACCAGTCGTGTGGGTGTTCTTATTTTATGTTGACTCCAGAGATCTTTCCTTCATTAAAGTGATCAATGTGGGACAGCGGTTCCTAGTAAACAGAGTCCAGGATTACATCCAGAGTAAAATCGTCTATTACCTAATGAACATTCATGTCCAGCCGCGTACCATCTACCTTTGCCGACATGGTGAGAGTGAATATAATCTTGTTGGCAAGATTGGTGGGGATTCTGGTCTGTCACCGCGCGGGAAGCAGGTATGTCTTTGGCAGCACCCGGGTTGCTGTATTTGTAAAGTGTTGTGTGACCAGGGTCAGAGCCGGGCTCTGCATCTGACTGCTGCGAGGGGCAGCCCCGCAGCTGGATCTTGCCGCGACAGCCACAGCCCTTGAAATGATGTTTTTAACGGTGGCAGCAGCTCCTGCTCCCTCCTGACCTCCCCTGACTTTTTTTTCCAGTTTGCTCAGGCGCTGAAGAAGTTCATTGAAGAGCAGGAGATTGTTGATCTGAAGGTGTGGACGAGCCAGCTGAAGAGGACGATCCAGACGGCAGAGTCTCTAGGGGTCACGTACGAGCAGTGGAAGATTCTCAACGAGATCGATGCTGTGAGTGAAATGCTGATCGAAGCCTTTAGCTTTTCTAGATGGAAAATAATGTTTAAAAACAAATTCACCACGATAAACCTGATTATTTCCTGTTCATTTATAATCATGTCTACGTATAATATACTCCAAGCCTCCATCGTGACGTTTAGGATGGTTTGGTACAGGGCTGACAATGCCTGGAGCGGCTAGACCTTGCTGTGAACGTATCCAGCTGGTGTCGAGAAAGAAAATAACACTGAACGTCCCAGGTGTTTGTCGCTCCGGCTGTAACACCAGCCTGGGTGGACAAAGGGTACTGCTCCCACTCTAATTCTTTCAGGCAAAAGAAATTGCAGGGTTGTTGCTGTGGAAATGAATGCTCGTTTTCATCCCTGGCAAACAAGGCTTTCGAAATAAAACCAAAAGCCCGTCCTTTGCAAACCACCCTGGATGTGCCGTGCACAAATGCTGGGTGTGTGGCTGTGTCAGTTATAATACCTAAAATTTGCATCACACAAGGGGGTTGCTGATCGCCGCCGCTTGCTGCTTCTGCGTTGTTGTACCTCTGTTGAAACGAAGTGTGTGGTAACGAGTTCTTCTTCCCTCAGGGGGTATGTGAAGAAATGACCTATGCGGAAATTGAAGCCAAGTATCCAGATGAGTTTGCCTTGAGGGATCAAGAGAAATATCTTTATCGCTATCCTGGAGGCGAGGTGAAGACCCTTAAGAAGTAACGATAAGATGCAGCACACATAAAACAAATACATATGTGTAGAATTGAAAGACTTAACTTTTTATGCCAATGTTCGTATGAGAAACTGAAAACATTCGGGTCCCCAATTCTCTTTTAGAGGAAAGGTTTATTGATTTCCTTTATTGTGCTGGGCAAATGACGCCTTTCAGTCATTCGTTGGGCCACTTGCCGCGTCCCTCGATGCTCCCCTCGGACACAGAGGGGTTTCTGCATCGTGCTCGTTTGGCCGAGGCCTGAATTGTCACTATGAAAAACACATCTTGGAAAGAAAATGACCGTGGGTGTGGTATGAAGTCATTTCTGGTTTTACTTCACAACCTTGTTGAAATGTATAATTTACTATTCTATTTATTTTTCTTACTGCACTCGCGAAGAGTTACCAGTAATCTGAATCCTCCTGTAATTTGAGGGTTGCTGACATAAAATCTCACTTTCTGCTGTTTGCATTTTTTCCTGTGTTTACTGGATCATCCATAACTTCTGCATTTTGATATTTTAACTGATACTTTCCTGAATGTGAAGCTGTGTTAATTGCTACTTCTGCTTTAAGCCTCTGTTTATGAAACCCCTTGACGAATTCCTGTTTTGTTTTTCAGTCGTACCAGGACTTGGTCCAGCGCCTGGAGCCGGTAATTATGGAGCTAGAACGGCAAGGCAATGTCCTCGTTATCTCCCACCAGGCGGTTATGAGGTGCCTGTTGGCTTATTTTCTTGACAAGAGTGCAGGTACAAAAATAAATGTATGATGTTAGGGGCTGGCTTCTCTTGCTGCTTCCTTTACAGAGCTTTGGGAAGGGTGGCTTGTAATTACTGTTTTGATTTTTCACAGCGGAAGAGCTGCTTAAAAAATAAAAAAAGAAAACATTTCTGAAACACTTTAACCATTGCATTTCAGTGGTGCACGGAGCTTAGCAAGAAGCTTTCTTTGCGAGAAATACAGATACGTGCGCTGGTGGTTTTCTGCCCAGCCATTGTTTCTGGAGCTGTTTCCACCAGTAGCATTTGCATAATCTCTAGGGGATTATTTTTTAATGTAAAGAAAAAGTTTTCTGATGCATCAGTAGCCCGTGAAGGGTTGGCAGTTGTGCTACGTCTCAGCGAAACGCTGATCTCTTGCATGGCATGCTGGCCGGGAAGCTAGTTCCAGTCTGCTGCAAACTCCTGTATTAAATGCCAGTGAGTGGTACTGGAGTTGAAGAAAACTTTATGAGAAGTTTGAAATAAAACTCGCTTGGGTCCGTGGCAGCTGTTGCCGCGGTGCTTTCCCACCCGCGTGCTGCTGGAGGGGTTTCCTCTGGCCGGCCCCGTGCATTGGAAACGGTGGGGCCAGTCCCGTCCCGCTGCTCCAGGGCTGGGAAGAGGGGTAAAGGGGTCCGGGGGGGGGCTGCGGCACCGCCTGCTTGGGCACAAGGCGCTTGTGCGGTTGGCGTCCAGTATTTGCTATGTGAAGGGTCCCACCTGAAGCCTGGGGGGGGTTAGGGGGGGTGGCTGGTGTGGGCAGCCCCAGCGCAGCCGTAACCCCCCCCGTAACGCCTGCCTCTGTCCTAGACGAGCTGCCCTACCTGCGCTGCCCCCTCCACACCATTCTCAAGCTCACGCCCGTTGCGTACGGTAAATACTGTCTTTTTTTTTTCTCCTTGGTGTGTGTGTGTGTGTGCACGAATCTGATGGGCAAGTTTGTGTCCGTGTGCGGCAGCAACCGGACTTGTGTAAATGCTTCTGGTAATACTTTTAACATATAAAAAGGTTCTGGAGAGTGGGAGGGCTTTGGGGGAACAGTGGGAGGGGAGATGTGTGGGCGCAGGGGTGTTCTCCCATGGCCTCTCTTCTAAACGAGTGGTAATTGTGGATTTCGCCTGTCGATGAAGGCTGTTCTTGCCTCCAAACTTGGGTTTGGCTCTGGGGTGCAGTGAGTTAAAAATGGCTTTTCTGTGTAGACCTGTAGTCCACACAACACAGGGCTGCACTTTTGCAGTGAAGGTCAAAGCCAGAAAGTAGTTAAAGTGTAAAATTCTGTTAATAGGGTGAACTGTTTATTTATGAGCTGTTTTATTTTTAAAAAATAAATAACAAATTTATTCCTGCTCACTTTCCATGCTGTTTTCAATATTTAAAAAAAAAAAGGTTATTTAATAAATAACTCAAACTTCTCTTTGGTAAAGGTTGTAAAGTGGAGATGATTACCCTGAATGTGGAAGCAGTGAACACCCACCGTGACAAACCCTCTCTGAATCTGAACTCAGTAAGTCTTGCTGCGCAGCTCTGGCTTTTTCCCTCTTCAGGAAGAAGTACCTAAACTGAAACACTCTTAAATACCTGCTAGAAATGGCCGATTGCTTTCAGTGACCAGGAAGACTTGCTTCAGAAATAATCCCCAAAAGCAGAATTAATTGTAGGCTGAATTAGTGTGCTAATCTCCCAGGCCAAGGGGAGATATTTTTCAGAGCTATTGTAGGAAGCAGACTGGGCAAATTTAGGACGCAGATTTTTAAATTCCAGGTCTCGTTCTCAGTTTTCAATGAAGTATTTGTTGTTGACGCTCATTTGCGTTAATTGTGGTAATTTCGAAAAGACTTGCCGAAATGTTTGAAGTGACTTTTTCTCGTTGTCTTGATAAGCTTTCTCTTCTGAAAGCTGCAGACGGGGTAAGGCTGGGCTCTGGGGCTGGTTCTCGGTGGCTCTGGGCAGCATTTGCAGCCCTCGGGGGCCGGGCTGGCCGCTGTGTGTCGGTGGCTGGGATGAGTGGAGGTTCTTCCCTGGTCTCTGCAGATTTCATGTGCCTTTTACAAGTATTCGGTGCAGGGCAAGACCGTGGTGTTCCTAAACTTTGTATATATTCGAGCGGAAAGAGATGGGTCCAATTTACCTTCCTTGCACTGGGCATCTTCTTACAGGAGCAGTGGAAACACTTCAGACTCTGACTAGCTTTATTTATGAAATCCTGTCTCTCCCATGACGTAGATAACTGGCCATCTACCTTGTTCAGCAAAGCACATAACTTACATGCTAAATCTGGAAGTTGCTGCTATTTCAGGTGCTAGCTTTTCAAACGCTGTTTTGCAGAGGGACTGATCTGTCAGGGAATGCTGCATAGCGATTGCCTGCAATTAACTCCCCCAATTAAAGAGCACAAACCAACTCTCCGCTTCCCTAGCTCACGGCAAATCTAAGTGCATTGCATTTTAAGGTCTTTCGGTACATTTAGGCTTTTAGCTGCCTCTTGTCATTGTATTTTATAAAGAGCTGTTGGCTGATTGCCTGGGATATGGTTATTTTTGTGTCCCAGCGTAAAGGAGTCCCTGTGCCGAGGGACCACGAACAAGGGGTCGAAACTAGGAACCTGCGTCTGTGGCAGGAGGGTTTGCGGAGCTAAATCCAGCTGACTGCAAAATGCTGAACTGAGGATATTCGTCAAGACTTTTGTGGCTGGTCCCATTCTGGTGGCTTCCAGTCGGGCATTTATCGCTTTGTGACTTTGTGCGATGCCTGCCTTGAAATGGCTGCTGCCCGCTCAGAGAAGTCGGAGGCTGTTTCTGTTGTTCTTTGCTTTACTTGGGCAACGCGGCTGCTTTGGGGGAGAAGAAACACAACGAAGGGGAAGTTTTCTATTTGATTATTATTTTTTGTTTCCCCCTAAATTGATTGCAGGGAGGAAAAAGAAGAAAATAAAAAAAAAATTTAAAAAAAAAGGCAAAACAAACACAAAAACCCCACACCAAACCCAAACAAAGCCACCTAAGCAAAAAGAATCCCAAAGGGAAGTAAAACTGCTAAAAACAGCAGACTTTTTCAGTGGACTCTGAGCCAGATTAACCGACAGAGCGGGTTGTTTCCCACCACGGGTGCGCAGCCGGGGAAGGCACGGAGCGGTCCTGCCGGCACAGACCGATGCGGGGTTCACTGAGCCGCAGCCCCGGCTGCCAGGAGCTTGGGGGTGCCTGCGGGTGGGGATGCCGGAGGTGTGTGCTGGTGTGCGATGTGGTTTTAAACTGTGGTTCCCCTTTTCATTCCTTGCGATACCCTCTGTCTGGAATCAGAACAACCCTCCCGCCAGCCAAACCCCTGTAAGGATGAGAAGAAACAGCTTTACGCCGCGGGCCAGCGCGGACACGGTAAAGCGCCCACGACATTACAGCGTTGGGAGCAAACCTCTCGGCCTGCTGGGGCCTTTCCCATCCCTGGAAGCTCGAGATGGGGCCGACCAGCCGCTGCTGCAAGTCGGTGTCCAGGTGGTACCTTCCCTACGCTCCCCCTCCCCACCATCACCCGCGGTTGTTGGTGACCCTCTCTGAAATACAGACCCTTCCCAGGGTCTTAATCACTGTCTCTGTGCCCACGTGAAAATCATTCTGGATTAGACTCCCTTAAAAAAGAAAAAACAAAACAAACCCAGAAAAACCCTCCCCAAAACCCCAAATTTGCCCCATTAAACTGGAATTGTGGTGCCAGAGGCTTTCAAAAATCAGGCTCCATGCAGGCGAGTTTCCATCAGTGCAATAGGGTTTTGGTAGGGTGGTTAATTCTGGGTAGTATCTTGCTTTCCAGCAAAAAACTGATTGGAAAGAGTTACAAATACCCTCTTTGTCCTAATTTGATACTGCAGCCAAGTGTTTCTCTAGCCCCAGAGTGACTGGGTAGGAAATGTTTGTGTCTATGATTTTGTCAGTGCCCGTTTCCCTGCAGATCCCGATGTCAGCAGCTTGTTGAACAAAGTTTGGGCTCTTTGGGGGCCCAGATTAAAGCAACTTGGGTTTTGGTGCTTGGTGTTTCTTTTAGCTTAGAAGCACGTAGGTCCTCATCAGTGTTGGATGCGAAGCCCTGTTTGTTTCTTTGCTCATTTAAAATTGTTTCTCTGCTAAATTAGGAGTCTGTGTGTGCCTGGGAGACCACAGGCAGAGCGAGCTGCACGCTGCTGCCTGTTAGATGAGGTGGAGAGGAGGTGTGTCGTGGGCTTCGAGGAGGTCTTGGCTGGGCTCCTTGTGCAGAGACAGCCATCGTTACCAAAGCCGTTTAAAAATAAAATAATCTTGGATACTTCAGACGTTAATGTTTTCCAAGCTATTCAGTGAGCCCAGCTTCTTGTTTTCCTCCCTGTTAGCAGAGTAAGTGGCCAGAGAGTAAAAGGGGCGATGCAGCACAGGCGAACGTCGATGGTGTTTCCATACTCGGTGAAGAGCATGAGGCTTAGACATCTCCAAAATCCCGGGGCTCCGGTGGGAGCTGAACCAGACAGGGCTTTGCATTGGGGTGAGTTTGGCCCACAGCGGTTCTGGATGAAGAGTCTCAGCTGGAGAGGACCCTGGCTGCCTGAGGTCTTAATTTGTGGGTGTCTCCAACTGGGCAGCCCCAGGATGGGGATCCCTACCCCGACCGCTCCCTGTTTGCAGTTCGTCATCGTAATGTCAAAGCACTGATAGCTCTGGGATGAAGGAGCATTTGGAAACCCTGGGTTCTGGGGCCGTGCAGGCGGTGGGGAGTTGTGCTGTCCTGAGTCCTCTCGCCTGAATGGAGCCCTTGAGACGAGCAGCAGTGGAGGAGGTGGCCGGGCACTGCAGCACGCGATGTCCACGCCTTGTACCAGCTCCTGCTGTGATACAAGCCTGCCCTGAGCTCCCTAACATGAAATCTTTGGGGTTGCTTCACTTCTTTCCTCATTTCCTTTGCTGCTTTTACTATTATTTTTAAATCTCCTTTAAAATGCACTATGAGCTTTCCTGTGCTGTTTCTTTTTCCTTTGCAGCCTCAAGGGGGAAATGCTTGCCTGTGAGTACCACTGAAAGCAGCTTGTATGTACTCTCTTTTGGTTTAGTAAGTCGGACTTCTCTTGACTAACATTGCACGGAAACTACTTTGGGGAAAGACAAACGCATGGAGCAGAAGGAAGTCTTTTGCTGTATAATAACCTGTCATTAAGGGGGACCTCAGTGGGGGAGGAATATGTTACCAGGCTGAGCCCACTGGTCCAGGGGCTCCAGCGGGACTTACCGGTTCATCGTGCTTGTGCTGCCTGCCCGCAAAGTGCGTTTCACTCCGAGCTTGCTCCGTCCCTGGACCAGGACGTGGGAGTGCTCTGTGCTGGCGCTGCTGGGCTGAGCCACAGAGCTTGTACTGAGCGGGTCCCACTTATGTCTCCTCCCCACCAGGGATGGGGTGTGGTGATGATACTTACCGCAGGGATTTTGCAGGAGTCATCGGATCGCAGCCTGGATGGGAGTGGATCTGTTCAGTCCCAGCTCCCCGTGACTCGAGGGAGCTGGGTGGGTTTAGCGCGTGCTTGGAAAGTAGCTGGGCGGATAAACCTTTCTGTGTTGCTGGCAGTTGTCACCGAGTCCTCACCATCACATCCCCTCGGAGGCATCTTTGAACGAGGGTGAAGAGAGCAGGACTCTTTCTCCCACCCTAAGGGGAGAACATGTGCTTGTCTGTCCCCCCTCTCCAGGGAGCCGGCAGCTAGCGTCACCCGCGAGACCTTGGCTTCCCTCTCGGCCTCCGACTAAGGGGCTCGGATGAGACCTTGGCTGCCGCCCCACGCAGAAAGGCCAGAGATGCCCTCGCTTCGCCGTGCTCCCGCTGGCCCCGAGGCTCGTCCCCACGCCCCTGCTCTGCTGGTGGCTGTGGCAGACACCGCTGCAACCCCTTGCTTGGCTAATCGGGTGTTTCACCTTGTGCAGTACATGCAACTGATGTTTTTTGTCTTGTAAAAGTTTTGCAGTTTAGGTGCTCTGTCTGGGGGCCCGGCTGTATTGCACAGCAGGTCCCTGCATGGGGCTGTGGGACGGCTCTTGGCAGCCCGTGGCTCCTGTAGCGCCCGTGCCGCATCCTCCCTGTGGTGCCATGCTCATCCCCATGCACTGGGGTGACCCCCAGCACCTGGCTGCTTCCACCCACCTTTGGGAGCACGATGGTCTCCCCCTGCAGGAGCAGCAGGCTGTGCTGGGGAGCACCCAAGGGTGGCAGTCAGTGCCTCAGGGTGCGCTCAGAGGTGGCACAAGCTGTGTCCTCAGAGGCTTCAGGTAGCTGCATGTGGGCTGCCTGCTCTTGGTCTCAGCAAAGCTCTGCTCCCTCCTTGCCTCTGCCTTGGAGCTTTGGGCAAATCCTCTCGCTCCCGGTGCCCTGGCATCAAAGGGAGAGCTGGGTTTAGTACAAAGAAAGTACAGCAGGAGCTGGTTTGGTTTCCAGATGTCAAGTGTTAGAGAGGATTCAGGTTTGGGTGGGGAGCTGGCTCCCGTTTCGCTGCAGCAGGGAGGTCCCTGCGGTGATGGGGCGCAGCTCTCGCTGCCATAGGATGCGGCTCGTCTTTTCCAGGTGAGGAAGGCGCAGCTCCTGCCTCTGCCCAGGTAGCGTTCCTCCAGGCCTGAGAAACTCCTGCTTGAATGTATTTAGCAATCTGGATGTGCAGCTTTTTACTTTAATTGCACTTTGTACTTGAAATGAAGCTCTTCCAACAATCTTCTCAATGAAACTGCTCTGTCTTTCTACATCGCTGGTATTTACACGCATTTCATAGGATACAAAGGTACGGGATTGATCCTGAAGTTACATGTCTCTGTCTCCTGTTCCCTAGTTTGTGATAGCATTTTTAATAATGCGGCAGAGTTTTCTTACTAGCAAAGCAGGGCGACTGTCCTGCCAAAGCTGCAGAAGCGCACAAAGCATCAAGCTCGAATGTTGCCGTAGCGCGTCTCCCACGTCGGGACGGCCGACTTGGGAATGGTCCAACCAGTAGCAATGCAAAAAGGGCGTGTTTCTCCTAAAGTTGCCTGTCTCCCTGGGTTTCAGAGGCCTTAATGTTGAAGATGAGGGGAAAAGGAGAAAGAACCTGAGCTGGGAGAGCTTGCGATAAATCTGGTAAATCATTGTTCCTATACTGAGTAATATTAATTTAGAATCAAATCAGAGGAAAATTATCCACAGGCTAAAAATCAAAGCCTTGCCCCTTTGGATTTGCCTTTACTCTGAGCCGAAAGGAGCTGTGTGTTTAGAAAATGAATGTATATGCCAGCTTTGCAAAATTACTTCTCTAACGCTGCGCTTCAAGTGTTTCTGCTATGTTTAAACGAGTAACACAGATTTCCTAGGAGGGTTTGCAGATAAATGAAGGGAACTCGGTCCAACTTCTTGATTCCAGTACAAACCTTCCTTCTTAGTGCTGGTGTTTTGCTTGACAAAGTAGCATGTGAGCAGCTATTATGGATTACCTCTGTCTGATGGTTACTTCTTAAGTGTCATTGTTGAGAAAGCTGTTTAGATTTTTTTTTTTAATTACAAATGGAAAATATGTAGGGTTTGGATTTCCTGACTGTTGGATTTTAAGTGTTGATTCTTACTGTTAATTGTCAGCAAATTGGCTCGATAGCTGTGCCTTTTTTTTCTTTATTGCAAAACAGTGCTGGTTAGGTAACACGACAAATTGCACGTATTGATTCACGCATCGGTTTGCAGTCTCCAAAAGTGCTGCAGCTGAGCGGAGCAGGCACTAAACGCTGCATGACTCAGAGCCCTTCCAAGCATTTTCTGTGCTCTGAAACACTGCATGAACAGCAGCTGTAGGAAATCCTGGCTGTCCGATTTTAACTTGTGTGATTGTGCTTTTGTAAATGTATAATTCACTTGTACTGACCTGAGTGTGTTCCTGTCGTCTGTCGGACCCTTGGTGAGGCAATGGAAGGAGTTTTACCAAAACTATAAGTATTTATTGTGGTTAATATGCAAAATGACTACTGTAATGTTTCTTACGTTTGTCCTGGAAGTGTATTTTCCTATGGAGAAGATAAATAAAATGAGTAACCCTGAGTAACCAGCCTGCTTTGTTATTGCCTGCTGTCCTAGGAGATGCTCCAGTAAAGCTGAGCTTGCATGGTCTCAGGCTGAGACGGGGAAACCCTCCGTGCGGAGCTTTGCAGGAGGTTAAAGGATGATGCAAAATGTGAAGCAGCTCGTTATTTGCTCAGGGAGGAGTAAATAAATAAATCCTCAGATGGTCGCTGTCACATAGACCAACTGTGTGGAGCTGGTTGGATCCTCCTGCCGCTGGCTGCTGCAAAGTGTCTGTCCCCTGGCACTGAGCTGAGCTCTGCTGTCCCCTGCTTTACCATCTCCTGACTTACCCTTGTTATAACCTATGCCTTTTTTTTTTTGTTTGTTTTGTTGTAGAGGATGGCTGGTTTAACAGTGTAGAGGTTTGTGCTCTCATCTCGAATTCGGCTGGGATTTCCGTGGCCGGGAAGAGCCCTGCGGATGGGACTCGAGCACCCCCGGAGCACAGTGAGCCGCGTGCCGCTTTGGCCAGTACTCTCCTCTGAAATGTGTTTTTTAGAGTCTGTCTGTGTCTTTTCTTTCTGGATGCTGAAATGTCTGTCAATGAGATTGGAGAAAATTTATTATGGAGGTTTTTCAACCTGCTTTTAATATGTGTGAGCTAACTTATCCCTGGGCTTTCTGAGGCGTTAAAATAGTGCCCCTTGTCTTTCCTCCTGGTTAGATGGCAAAATTAACCGCAGCGTATGCAAGGACAAAATGGTCATGTCCAGACTCGCTGAAGCAGCTTTTCTTTGGAAGACATGTTACCAGACCAAATCCCCAAGTTTTTGTTTAACTGTTACCATTTCCAAGTTCAAATGCAGTTGCTGTGTTACTTAACTATCCACAGAGCTCCAGCTATCATTTGACTTTGCTTTCATGACTGCTGATTTGAATCCCCCGGCCTGAGCCTGTTCCTTTGCTCTGGGAAGGCTTTTGCACGTGGTATAACACAAGGCACTCATCAAGTCAGCAAATCCTGCGGGACGTCTCCTGTGAGGGGCAGAAGGGAATAAAAGCTCCTACGCTGGGAACAGTGTAGCTACCAGTGCTGTTGGATCTGAGCTCAAAGCCCAAGTCCTGCTTTAGCTTTGCACCCTGATCTGAGCCTCATTCTCTCACTGATTTTTTTCGTGGGTTTTATGGACGCTTTTCTCTAGTACAACAGAAAAAATCAGAGCACCGCTTTGCTTGGTGTCTGGGAGCAGCGGGGCTGCGTGTGCAGGATTTGCAAGAAGCACATGATTTTTACCAGTTGTCTTTTTAATGTACCAGATGTCAGGCTCACAAGAAGTCTTTAAATTTGCCTATAAATAAGCTGTGAACATTACTAATGTAGAATGCTGTCTTAATAGAATTTAAGCTGCTTTAGTATTTAGTGCACAGACGGTGAAACTCCCGTGGGGCAGCTCGTGTGATGGCTGCGTGTTACTTAAATCCCCACCGAAACCCCAAACTTAGTTTTCTCCCATGAGTCTTGACTTGTGTTTTGCCAAACTCCCATTTTACCCCACTCCTCCTGTTCTTGCAAGAAGGGCAAAATCCTCAGGTTGGGTGAAGAAAGGAGCATTTAGGTACGAAGCAGGAGGCTGTTCTGGACCTGCTGTTTCCAGTGACTCCAGGATTTATAGGAGCAACTTCTGGGACCCAGGTTGCTTATTTTAAATGTGTGAATAAATGTTGGCCATACCTACAGTAGGGATCTGTGCTTGGGAAACGTCGGTGCCCTGGCTGCCGAGGAGCTCAGCAGGCTGGAAGCCTGAGGTTTACTTGGGGATTTTGAGCTCAAACACAGTTGTTTTAAACACTCCCAGAGCTTTAATTTGAGAAAGCTGAGATGGAGACGTCCATGGCAAAGGCCCAGGCTCTAATTCTAACCCTTTCAGATTTATGTGGAGGAGAAGCTTGTGTTGATCTAAAGCTGTGCCATGGAGGGAGGAAGTTCAGTGGGTGAGAAACTGAGTTTTATTAGTTTTGTTCCTTGGGCTGTTCCCACCGGGGCGCAGGTTTGCTGCAGCCTTCTGCAAGAGCTGCGCCGTCTGTTCCTTGGTTTTAAATGTTACAGTGCTTAGAAATAAGCCAGAAAAAGGGGGGAGGGGGGGGCCGGAATGTTGAAGGAAGAGGTTTATAGCCTGTTGTGTGGTAATACTTGTTGTCACTCTCCAGGAATGCTCTAAACGCACAAACCTGCACTGCATCGGGCTGGCTGCTCCTGCCGGGAAACCTCCTGCTCTGCAGGGAAAAAGTAGAAATGTACTGTAGGATGTTTACACACACTATGCTGTAATTACTTGCTAAGGAGTTAATTATATTTGTATCATTGGGTAGTTAATGGTTGTAAGGAGACAAGATATATATTTTTACCTGCCAGGATTCGTGAATGTAGCTGCTAATATGTTGGCGGTCGTAATTTTTAATCACTGCTAAAAATCGGGTCTGCAGTTTTGGATCACTGACTGTGGGTCCCTTATTCCTGTCGAGTGGGTCCTTGCTTTGGCCGTGGTCTGCTGGGTCGTGGGATGGAGCCTCTCAGCCATCTCTGCAGGCGGCAGCATTTGTGCCTCAGTGCTTTAATTAAAGCCTAACTGTAGCCTTTTCCTCCTGCGTTTTAACTTTCAAAAGGTGTAAATACACGTTGAGAGCAGAGCAGCAGCAGATTTGCGATTGTCATCGTTGCTGTGTGGGCGAATCATAGCTGTCATGACAGGTCCTGGGGTCCTGCCGAGCCCCAAGCTCTTGCGGGTGGCCGGGCTGGGGTGATGTCAACGAGCCCACGCATCTTCCCAGCCCCAGAGGGGCTGGCAGGTCCCTGTGCCAGGTATTTCCTTGAAATCACCTGATTTCCTTGGCACCGTGCGTGCAAATACCCCAGAATAAACAACGATTGCACAACGTACCTGAACTGAGGATTAGCAGAGGCTTGTGCTGTCAGTCGTACCGGAGCTGGTGTCTTGGGCTGGGTGAGGTGGTGAATTTGGAGGCACAGAAGCGGGCTTGGTGCCTTCGTGAGCACCACGAGTGGGGGTTTCTCTGTATTTCCCTGACTTTCTGTCCATCTGTTTCTAGCAGAGAGGTGGTGGTGCCTGCTGTCACCTTCAGGGAGCAGTGGCAGGGCCACCCATGGGACCTGCATATCGCTGTCCCTGAGCCGCGGTCCAGGGGCTGGCTGGCCCATCAGCGTTATGGGTCGTTTTAGAGAAAAATGATCGCTTGGGCAAAATCTGTTCCGTCTCCGCTGCCAGCGATGGGGAAAATTGGAAAATGAGGGAAAGGGCTTAAAACCAGGTCGGGCAGCTTGAGTTTGTGTACGCTGGCTGTGATGTTAGAGCTGCCACCTCTCTAAGGCATCCCCTTCCCGGCAGGTCGGCGGTGGGTGACAGGGAAGCCCAGCCCAGCTGCCGCAGGGCTGAGGAGCAGCCTTGGGAGGAGAGGTGTCCCCGCCGGCGCTTCCAGAAACCGCCTGCCCCGGCGTTATGTCCCAAACTCTCACCCGTGCTCCTCTGAAGGGTGCTGGGCAAGCGCTGCTGGTGCCATCTCCACCTCTCCCGCTGCTCCTCTGTCCCTCTGAATGCTGTTTGCAAACTGCATCTCTCTGTTTAGTGTTTACTGAGATGGATGTTACACGTCTACTTGCAATTTTGCTATGTTACTGCTTTCTAATGTTTTTTTAGGTTTTAAAAAAAATGCAGCATATGTAAACTTGTGCTGTATGTTGTGTACTCTGACTTGAGCATAAATATCCCGTGAGCATTTATTTACAATAAAGAGATTTAAAAAAAAAAAATAGATCTCGTTTCCTCTGTTACTTTCCATTGCTGTTTGTGATAACTATCTGCTGTGTGCTGGTTTTGTGAGATAATGGTGAATTCAGCGGAGTCTGTGGAAAGCGTTTGGAGGAAGAGGGTCTGCAGGGGAGGGCAGGCGTCCCTGGCTTTTGGGAGTTGGGCTGGAAATGGTGAATCCTGCACCCCAGAGCTACTGCTGCCATTCCCTTCCCTCATCGATTTTAGGGGTGTTTTTATTGGAGCTATTGGAATTTGGATTTTCAGGTTTCCTGTGGAGCTGTTAGGGTAGGAACACTTATTTTAAAGCACATATCTTTTTCTGGGGGCAGGGGTGGAAGTCTGAAGATGAAACTGGTGTGTCTCTTAACTTCTCTTAACTGTGATATCCAGCATCTGCAGCTGGAAACCAGCTGGTCCCGAAGGGGCTCGCCAGCCACAGCCTGAACAGAAGCGACCTTGGATGTGGTCAAGGAAAATCCATTTTATCCTGTTTATCCTGCTGCAAACTGCAGGTTGAGGAGGTCTTAGCGGTGTTTGGCAGCCGTCAGAGCAGGAGACGGCTTTTGGTGTGGCTGTGCCCTGGCTGATGCTCGTGGCCGTGAGTACCCTGCACAGATGCTAAATAACCTCCTGGCTGCCTGTGGGGAAACTGCTGATTTTTCAGCACACAAATCGGCTTGTTCTGAGTCATCTGGAAAAAAATAAATCTAGAAAGCCTATGTTTGTGTCTGTGATTAACTGGATTCTTGTAAATACTAAGTGGGAGGTCAGTGCCTGCTCGGGAGCGACGAGGGGCCTGTTGTGAGCAAGCCCCTGCTCGTGGGGCGAGGGCAGGCAGCCTTTTGCCGTGTTTTACAGAGCAAGAACTAAATCTGTTTTACTGCATTTTGGCATGGACTCAGGTGCGCTTCAGAAAGGTAATATATCCCACTCAATGTAGGGACATGGTAAATATTTCTGGCAAAAAAACCTCAGAGTTGGCAGAACAAAGCAATACCTGTGAGAAGCACAACCCGGGGTAAAAAGGCCATTGCCAGGTTCTAGATGGCAATTCAAGCCTGGATGAAACTGTGCAGCCAAAGTGCAGAAGGAGCGAATGGTTACAACTTCTGCCGACACTCTTGTTACTGGAAAATGACCTACGAGTGGCAGCCGGATTTGGGAACAGCTTTCAATGAGATGAAAGGCGGCTGCGTTTCCATGATGGACCTTGAGTGTTCAGCTCTGAGCGATGCTCCCTGGGACCTCGTGTGCTGCTGAGCTCCAGCTGGTGTTGCTCTAATGGGATTAGGTGGAGCTGGTTGCAGAAACCATATTTTGAATGCTGGCTATAGGCTTTTGAGGTCAAGAAGAGATGAGCTTGTGGTTGACAGGCCCTGGGGTGAAACGGTCCTCTTGAGGAGGCCACCATAGCATGCCTGAGGTCCCTGGGCATTGCGTGGGGATCAGCACTGGCCAGGTGCCGTTGCTGCACGGTGGAACAGGCAGCGTCCTGCTCAGCAAGGATCATTTCAGCAAAGTGTTGGCAGTTCCACACAGTAAAACAAACGATTTCAACATCTGCTTGGGTTGCATTCAGTTTTCTAGTATTTCACTTTGTGGGTTGAATAAACTACTTCCTTCTTGCTCAGAGTTGTTAATTATTTATGGGCCAACTGGCACAACTGTGCAGAATTCAAACTTTTCTGCATGGAGCCGTATCTGAGTGTGTAGGCGTATCGTAACTCCTCCTTCAGTGTGGTCGTCCCTGGAGCCGGGGAGACTGGACGAGGACAGTCATCGCTTTGCCTTGCGAGAGCCGAACATGCCAGGTCTCTCCATCTCCTGCTGCCGGACCTCCAGGTAAGACGACTTCGAGCAATACAGCTTTAGGCGATGTTGCTCTTGGGAACTGGATTGGAGCTTTCTTGCAACTCTAGCAGGTGCAAAGGTCAGTAAATTAAATCAAATTAAACCAAGAGCTGTAAGAAGGATTGAAGGAAAGCTAGAGGAATGAAACAGCCACAAGAAGTGTTAGGTTTAGAGCAGAAAGCATCAAGAAAGACTCTCGTTTCCAGGAGGAAGGTAGGCACTTGGAGCATACATAACATTGGGAGGGTTTAGGCTCGTAAACGATGATCCTGGATAACAAAGCCAGAGAGGGCTCTTGCTGATCTCTAGGGGTGCTAGGTTAGTCCAAATTGCACTTAAATTCCATTTTGTAAAGCAATTCCGTCTCCTGAATGACTTGCATGCTTTATAGCTTTACTCCAGTTGATGTTATTTGCACAAAACCATTGTATCTTTCTGGTTAGATACTTCTCTCTCTGCATATAATTTATTGTTAGGGGACTGTATTGACTCTGGCATGATTTCATCTGACTATGAGTTTGCTTCCAAGAGATTTATTACTAAAACAAAACATTTTACCCGTAAGATAAGTTTCAGGGGTCTTTTTCCATAAGGCATAGATAAGCTCATGGCCCTGCAGGTATGAATTTGGCCGGTTGGCTGGGAAGAACGCTGTTGGCAATGTAGTGTTTTTAAGTCAAACCTGACAAGCTACAAAGTATTTATGTTATGGTTTGAGTGGAGCTGTTAGTCTTTCTTTTTTTCCTTTTTTAAAATTTTAATCGAAAGCTGCATTCTCAAAAATGTAAATAAATGAGACTAGTGGAATAAAATCTATGGGAATTGCTTAACATCTACAATCGGCTGTCCTGTTTATGTTGTATTTTCATGTCTCTGGGTCTGGTCTGCTGGAGCCAGCCTTCCTCAGCCAAATCCAGCTCTGTCCCAGCAGCCCAGCTCCTCCACGCTGACTCTTGGTCCCATCGGCTGGAGAGGAGCTGCTCCGCTCTCTTGCAGAGTATTGCAATGGCTCCTGCAGCTTCTGGTCCCCGGCCACGACTGTAGGAACGGGATGGAGAAATGAGACCTGTCTGCATGAGCTATGTTTATCCTGAGTGTAAATACCCCCTGCTATTTTTACAGATATTTGGCCTAGAAAAAGAACGTGATCACTTCTGTGGGATCTCCAGACAGTGAGGCTGGAATAAAGAAAGATGCCAGCTTCGGAGCTGGGGAGGCAGAGGGATCGCACTGCTGTCCTTGGGTTATTCCTCGCTGCTGCTCTTGTTGTGGCTGTCCAGAGTAAGTGAACATGAGGAGAGAGCGAGTCTATCGGGGTAAACTAAGACCCCTCAAAGGAAAACCTTCTGCTGGGGCTCACAAGACTTGGATCCTTCTCTTTTCCTCGTTGCCTTTGCATTTCAAGAATATTGTAAGTCTTTGTGATCAGAATCCATCTTCCTTTGCCTTTTTCTTCCTTGCTGTGTAAAATGGCCATAGCATTACTCCAGCTGAAAGAGGTGCAGTGATTTATACTAACTGGGGAGAGGAAATGGTTAATCTGGACTTTGTGACCAGCCTTTGAAACTGCTGGATGAGGTGTGAGACGTGAACAGGACCTTGTGGGGTGATGCTCCTCCCCTGTCCCTGCCAGCCTCAGCCATCCCCAGTCACAGACTGTGCTTCTCCTCTTTGTTTCTAGCTTTAAGGCCACCGAAGTGTCCTCACCTGGACCTTCAGCGTAAATCCAGGCCTGAACTCCCGCTGCTTTTCCTCCCAGCATCTTTCTGATGGAGTTTCTGTCGGTAGGTGCCTGCAGTGTTCCGCCACATCTCGCATCTGCAGAACTCAAAGAGCAATACCGTCACATTACCAGATTCTCCAGTATGGCAACGGTGGAATACGTCTGTCGTCCAGGTTACATAAGAAATACTAACGTCCAAAACAGGTTGCTTTGTGGAAGGGACAATAGGTGGCAGGGATCGTGGGAGATCTGTATACGTGAGTATATTTTGGATTGACTTTTGATTTTGTTTTTTATTCACTGATGCTATCTGCTTGTTGGAGCAGTATCCGAAGTGACCTCACGGGATGGTGGGAGATGAGTGACCTGGCGTGAAGCACCAGTTGTGTTCTGCTAAGTATTGGCAATGACGGCAACAGCTGAAATCTGCTTTCATGCTGGCTGTGTTTGATTGCTGATTCAAAGGATGTTCTTCTGCTCAGGCACTTTGTAACTCTCGGTTCAGAAAAAGTATTTCAAACTTGCAGTAGGAGAATACTTTAGGTGTGAAGAAACGCTGTCGCGCTTGCCAGAGTTACTGCAAAACCCCACTTAGACTGCAGAGACTGGCTGCAGGTCGCGATGCAAGTCTTAACAGCGTCGTGAATCACGGAATAATTTAGGGTTGGAGGGGAAATCTGGAGGTCTCTGGTCCATCCCCTTACTCAGTATTGGAGGAGCCTTCCGCTTTCCTGCTGCATTTTCCCCGATTCTTCAAGAAACTGGAATAAGAACTAACTCCAGTCCTGTTGTTCCCCAGCAAAGTACTGCATCTACCCTGGAGAGCCGGACAACGGCAGACTCATCCTAGAAGAAAACTTCAGTTTTGGTTCATCCGTGAACTTCACCTGCAACACTGGGTAAGCCAGGAGGACTCAGGGCACGGGTCCTCTTCTTCCCCAGCGATTTTTCTGAAGTCTTTTCCCTCTAGATTAGAGCCTGTGCTGTCAGAAGCCTTACTAGTGTAGGTAATTGCAGACTGTGATTGAAATATCTTTTGAAGCTTTCCTTTGAGAGCTTTAAGACTGACTGAGTTTTCTTAATCTTGTACTTTGAGGCAGTTTTTCCCGAACTCATGTTCACTCTCCTGGCTCCTTCTTAAGCCATTTCCAATGTTTCAGTATCTTTTTGAAGAAAAGACATCAATACTGAACTCAGAGCTGTAGTGGTAGCTACAGCTGGCTGATAAAGTAGACGTTTTTCCTTAGAAACCATGTAAATTTTTTTTATTTTAAAAATGCTTTTGTCAAAAGCCAGCGTGTCATTGAAAAATGACATTGACGGCAAATTTCTGATCAGCTGTAATTATGATAAGCCGAAACTATCCTGATGGTGATGTTATAGGTAATACATCAAAATTGAGTATGTCAAGTAATCCCCTCTCCCCTATTTCACACAGGTACAGACTGGTTGGAAATTCTCAAATTCGATGTGTGATTAAAAGTGGGGTTGTTACGTGGGACAGAGATATTCCCATCTGTGAGCGTAAGTAGGGTTTCTTAATTGATCTACTGCTTAAACGTTACTGGGGATGGATAAAGAAGCAGTTGCGTTGCCCTGCTGAGGATTTCAGCAGTTTGATGCACGGTGGAGTCTGGAAAGACATTTTGTCTTTGTGTTTGTCTTCCTGCATCATCCTGCACAAAAAAAAATATTCATTGTCTGGGAGTAAGGCAGCTGCATGTAAGACTGGTATATCCCCAAACCACTCGTCGCCCGGGTCAGAGCTCTGCTGCTTGTGGGCTGGCAGGCAACTCCCTGGAGACCTGCCCTTAATTTCTGACCCTTCTGGCACCTCGTGTTTCAATTTTATTTTTTTTTTTCCTTACCAGACCTTTGGTTCAAAACAAATTAAGTTAATTTGTTCTTTCTTGTTCTTCCCTCCCTCTACCATTTCTCCCCCCTCCCTCCTCAGCAATACCATGTTCCCCCCCTCCAAAAATAGCTAATGGAGAGCACAGCGGAGCTGACAAAGAGGTCTTTGAATACGGAGTATCTGTCACTTACCGGTGCCACACCGTCGAAAGGGGAGAGCAACCTTTCTCGCTGGTGGGAGATGCCTCTATTTTCTGTACAACCACAGATAACATAAATGGTGTCTGGAGCAAGCCAGCCCCAGAGTGCAAAGGTGAGCCGCTCCCATGCGCGGGCTTGCAAGCTCACCGGGGCACTGCAGCAGCACCAGCCGTAGCCCCTTCTCCGCTGCCTGCTGCCTGGTCTGCTAAAGCTGTTTTCTTCCTTGGAGCCGTCTCTCTCCTTTATGTTGCTGGAATCGCCTCTTGCAGATGAGACGCTCCGAGTTTGGTAGCAGTAAGGGATCTCCCATCGCAGGGACCGTGACTCTTACGGTCACCAAGTCAGCAGGGGACATGGGAGTGGGATTTTTATTAGCGTTTGCAAACCAGATGATGCATCTTGCCTGCCGGCCTGTGTAAAATATAATGCTTGCAAAGAATTCAGAAAGCTGCTGTGATACCTGCTGCCTTTCCTATGTTCTTTTTACGCTTTGCCTTAATAAAAAGTATGAAATTAAAAAATGCTGTAATACGGAGTTCAAAAATATCACATCAGCCTGCTACCTTGTCATGTCCATTTTCAGCCTTTTTGGTGAACACATCTTATGCTACGAGAATGTTTTTAATCCCCTCATCTCCCCTCCTGAGCATAACTGCCGATTTCCTAAGTGGTGGTGTTTCCCTGACGCAGTGATTAACTGTGAGAATCCGAGCGTGACGAACGGGAAGCTGCTGAGCGGGTACCGGCTTGCGTACACCTACAGAGACACTGTCATGTTCGACTGCAACTTCCGCTACGCCATGAACGGCAGCGATGTATCCACGTGCAAGGAAAACGGCCTTTGGGACCCTCCGCTGCCGCTCTGTCAGCTCAGTAAGTGTGGTGGACCGAGCGCTGCTCCACCTGGCCCAGCAGCTTTGCTTCAGTGAAGTTCCCACCCACCTAAGAAAGCGTTGGGGCCTTTATGCGACGGCTCCAAGATTTAACTTTTTGGATTTTTTTTTTTTTTTTTTTTTTTGGCTAATCTCCGTAGCACTGAGGTGACTTTAGGAATTTATGACTTTGGGCCATAGAGACTAGAGCCTTGTCCCATTCAAGCTGGTGAGCATTTCTCAGTAGAATTCAAAGGGACTAAATTAACGTTACTATACTTAATATTTTTAAAGTTTGTTGGTAGAGCCTCAGATAGTATAAACTTTATTAAAAATTAAAGCATTATTATTAAAACATCTCGTTATAACAGTGAAAATTACCATGCAGGCTGAAATTATTCATACGTTTTCATTTGTCTCCTTTGCATTCACTCTTTAGCATTACTGAACTCGGACGATTAAGTGCATCTCAGAAAGAACGATGTGAGCCCACGATTTTTCCCCAAGTTCTCTGTTATGTTACGTACCATTATGGGCCTCACTGATTTATCACTGGCAACGTCCTTAAACTGGAATTTCATTCCTAGGTAGCTGTGACGACCCTCCAGATGTGCATAATGCTGTTAAAGCAAAACTCGCTGGCAATTTGTTTCCTGTGGAGACTGTCGTGACCTACGAGTGCAGGGAGGGCCACCAGTTCAGCCCGGACGAAACCACGTGGCACATTAAGTGTCTGCCGGATTTTACGTGGAGCGAAACTCCACCTCCTTGTGAAAGTAAGTGTATGTTCCTTTGGCTTGCTTACCCTCGTGATTTGGCAAAATTATTACCGAATGAAGAAACTGTGCGTGGTCTGCTGTTGTGCAGATCGCGGGGTGAGGGAGAGAGGGGGGGATGCTCCAGGTGCCCAGCTTGGCGTGTCTCTGGTCTTTGCTGTGACTCTTGAACTCCTTTGATTTGGTCCCCAGCCACAGGGTTTTCTCTGCTTTATTTACCAGCTATGCTTTCTAGTCCCTTGAACCTGTGGAGAAAGTCATTGCAGTGTCGAGGGCACCTTGCTCCATCCAAGGGGAGGCTGTGGTTGCAGAGTCCCTCGCAAACACCCCGTCCCCCAGAAGCACCCAGGGATGGTGTTGGGGCAGATTTAGCGTTGCGTTGTGTCTTTGTCTTACAAAGCATTCATCCTTCTGTTTACAACGAATCTGCTGTCATCCAGATGGCTTTGCTGTGGTTTCACACTTGCTAATGTTGGCATTTCTCAGGAATTCGTTGCCCAGATCCAGATGTCAGGAATGGAAAGCCCTTAAATGTGTGGGAAGCTAAAGACCATTATGTGTATGGAGACAGTCTGGAAATTACGTGTAATGATGGCTATGCTTTCAAAGGTCATAGCAATAACATTGTGCTTTGGTGTTCAAGTGATGGTAGATGGGATCCAGCGATACCGGAGTGTACTCCAGGTAGGTGAGGGTTGGTGAAGCTTGTTGACTTGGTGACTACTTTTGACTGCAAAGGTTTGGGTCACTCTGTACAGTGCAGTTGTCTGCTGACATTCGCTGAAAAATCTACATGTGGCCTTAGATGATGGTAGTAGTAGCCAAGGAGAATTTTGCTCCACTGCCACGTATCCCCAGGTCTAGTCCTCCTGTGTTAAGTTGGAAGAAATAGGCAGCAAAAGATCCGGATGGATCAGTATATTGCCTGGGGATTGCTGTGGAAAAAGTACGGGGGTTTGGCAGGGGGCTGAGCTAGTGTCTGGGGAGGTGGGATGCGAAGGGTTGGGTGTTGGTAGGCTTAGGAGGTTCCTAAGAAGCCTGGAAGACACTTACCCAGCTGGAAGGGGATGCGGTTTGTGCTTTGGACAAACCAGCTGGGCTGGTTTGCTGATACGAGGCTTAGTAGCAGGGGATGTTCTCAATGCATTTCCCTTCTCAGAAGAAAATGCAACAACATAAATAACTGACACTGCTGAGACTAATAACCTAGCAATGGGGCACCATAGCAATATCAGCAAGCTACTGGAAGTGGCCTGAGCCCAAAAGCTCAGGAAAACCTTGCCAGGAGGAAAGAGCCTGCTCCACCTCACAGAGCAGCCAGCATTAGAGCATAGACGATTCCTTGTCCTGGCCCTAACACTGCCCGGGAGGTGCTCAGCAACCTCACGAGTGCAGCTCAGTGGGAAAGCAGGGCCTGCAGCCCCTGGGATAATAACGGTGTGTGGTGCCGAGAGCCCCGAGGGGAGGCTCGGTCGGGCACGGACCCAGCTCTTCAGCATGTGCCTTTCCCAACAGCCTCCGAAAAATCTGACTGTAGAAGCAGAAACTCCTTTAGAGTTACAAAGGAAACGTTGAGACCTGCATCTGTGTGACAGTCACCTTTTTTTTCAGGGTTCAGATCTTCTTGCTAACTGTCTTCTCCATAGAAAGCGTCTTCACTGGAGTTCTTTCTGAAAATACATGACATCCTTTATTTTCCGTTGTTTCTAGAACGTCGTTGCCCAAAGCCAGATACTGCTCATGGAAGAGAGATTTCTAAAAGCAAAAATGACTACACAGTTGGGACCCGACTGAGGCTGGCGTGTGATTCGGGCTATGTCCTCAGGGGCCAGGACTCGACCGAGTGTCAGGCTGATGTGAGCTGGGCTCCCCCGTTACCATTTTGTGATAAAGGTATGTGTAATGTGGTGCTGAGAAGAAATCTCATGCATCGGTATTCAGAAACAGCAGTCAGTAGGTGACCTACCTTCAGCATCTGCTTCTGGGGAACGGGATCATGATCACCGGCTCATGGGCTGGAAGCGTTGAGGTGTCTTCTCCCTGGAGATGTGACCCACGTGGGAGGTGAGCGAGAAGTGGGAGCCTTGAGCTGGTGTAAGAGGCAAGAAGCCAGGCAGCAACTTCATGTGAATTTGCCGCACTACAAACATGAAGTTAACTCTTGTGCTGATTTCCCAGAGGCAATTTTGATTATCACCTGATTATGATAATCGTGCATTTCTTTTCTTATCAATTCCCTTTATTTCATAGTCTGTGGCCCCCCTGCACAAATCACCAACGGGCAGCACTCTGGCTTGAGAACAGAGCAGTTCCCCTATGGCGCAGAGGTGACGTACAGCTGCACGGAGGGTCTGTCCCTCATTGGGGATGCCACCATCTACTGCACCTCCGACGATGGGGTGAACCTGGCGTGGAGCGGACCTGCCCCAGAGTGCAGGGGTGAGTCGTTTCTCCAGTATGGGATCAGACTGAAGCCAGGACCTGGGTGCGATGCTGGGGCTAAGCCCCAGCCCTGTTACCCGCCCTGGGCCGGGAGCTCCAAACCCAGAGCGGCTTAATGACCGTGCGGCTCCTCCGGCTCCTGTGCGAAGGGCTCGGCACCACGAGCTGTTCAGTAACACCAGGGACTGGCAGGGCCTCACTGGGGGCTGCTGCAGGCAGCTGAGGGTCAATTCTTGTGTTTGAGTATGAAACTGATGCAGAGGGCATCAGGAAGAG